TTTTAAGTGATTCTTTGCAGACTGAAATTTTGACAGTCCAGTTCCAGACAGAAATAAGTAGGTACTGTCTAGCCCTGAAGTTGAATCTAGTTCATCTTCTGACTGTTGCTCTGAGTGCTTCTTAAGCAATACGCTCGATAGCCTTTTAAACATTGTCTCCTAATGATTCTTAAGCATTGTGTTCAATTAAACATTGCGTCCATAGCGTATTCGGAGTTATATTTAATATATAAGATGGTCGTAGCGGATATGCAGAGGAGCTTCCCAATCTGTTGTTTTTATTAAACCATAAGACTCTTACTTGGGAGGGAGTTTTCAAACATCGGAATCAAAAAATTTGACTTCCGAGGGCCATTATTATTTGAATAGAAAAATTTGGGCGTAGCCGCAAACGCACAAAAATTTTCCACAATCTGTTCATTGAATTAAAACAAAACTCTGCAATTTGGGCGGATATGTTTCGTTTTCGAAGAAAGTTAAAAAGACTAAACAAACGGTCAAAAAAAAAATTTGAGTATTCCAAAGGCCAAGACTTGTTGTGGAGAAAAAAATGGGCGTAGCCGTTTATGCAGGGCAACTTACCATAATCCGTTTTATCCATTGAACTTAACATCTCAGGTTTAGGAGGGCATTTTTTGAGAGAATGAAAAACCAAAATACGGGTCAAATAATCCCCCACACACTTTTATGAAGACTGTAGGCACAAGTGTAAAGTAAGAGGAAACCAGAAAATTATGCAGGAGCACAGGGGAGTAGGCAGTCTTACGATTGATCGATTGACAAGACTTTTTGAAACATGGCGGAGTAGTTTTCTACTGAACTAAGACTTCAGCAAAAAATGAAAAGCTTTCTAAAGCTTCTCAAAAAAGTAAAAAAAACCCATCTCATACATTTTCATAATACCTGATTTTGGCCGTCAGGAATTTTTGGCCGTCATAAAGCAAAATATGAGTTGACTAAACCGGTAAAACGTCAACCGAAACCAAACCATTTAGTTGAAAAAAATCAAATCAGACTTGGTAAAATGACAAATACAGAACATTCAACAATTGTCAAAAAATTTTAGTATAAAAAAATCCATGCTTTACCAATCGATTAAAATCCGTTCGTTGTCTCCAGCCTAAGCGTATCGGATTCACTTAGAAATTTGAATTCATTATGAACGAAGTAACCAATTGATTCGAGTGATACTGTTAAACAAGTTACCCAAAAAAGTCTATTTTCAATTTAATAACGCTTGCCAATCGCAAGCCTAATAAAAGCTACTAGGAAGCCCAACTTAAAAAATCAATCGACTTGGAAAAAGTTAGTGGTTGGTCTGATCCAGCTAGTCAAGCTATGAACCATCTGAAAATTATAAGTAAAACCATGTTGCAAATCGGTTTGAACAATTTTAAATTTCTTAGACCGAATAGGTTCGCGAAAAGATTAAATTTTTCTAGGCAACCTATGGTCCTTCGAAAAATTGAAGTTATTTCAAGAAGCGAATCGGATGGAGAAAAATGAAATCTTTGTTTTGAAGCCATTCAAGCGGTGAAAGTTTAAATTAACAAAAACCAATTCATAGATCAAATCGGCTCTCAAAAAATGAAAGCTTTTCGAAGCAAGCTATTCAAGTTATGAAACTTCGAAATATTTCAGGTTGTTTTATAGAGCAAGCCAGTTCGCGAAAATTTATTTCTTCTTAGCAAGCTTTTCCAGTAATGAAAATTTGAGAAACTTTAGATTATTTCGAGAGTAAATAAACCAGTTGAAATACAAACAAATCAGTAATACGCGGATTAGTTAAGCCAGCCGAATAGTTACGTCATATCAATGAAATTTGCATAACTTTCGTAAGTGTTATATAATTGTTACATAACTATTCCAAAACAATCAGGTATTTTGGCTGGTTTATACACAACCTTTTTTCAGACCAAATTGGTTCGGGAAAAGTTCAATAATTATTCTCAGTAAGCTACTCTAGCTATTAAACTTTGAGCCGAAGCGAATCGGATGGCAGAAATGGAAGCGTTCGAGCGAAACCATTCAAGCGATGAACAGTTGAAACTATTTCAAGCTATTTCAACGAGCGAATCGGTCCGCAAAAAATCAAGTTTTCTTCAGCAAGTTGTAAAAAGAATGACACTTCGATATGATGCAAGTTGTTTCTTAAGCCAAATAGTTTTGCGAGAAGTCTGTTTTTTAGGCCAGCTAGTCAAGCTATGAAAATGAAAAAAATTTCATGACACTTCATGAAGAGAAGTCGATGACAAAACGTTCAAACTTTTCTTTGCAAGCTTTTTATACTAACAAACTTTGAAACAAAGCAATTCAGATGCCGAAAATTAAAATTTTCAGATTCAAGACATTGATGGGATGAAAATTTGAAATTACTTGATGTTCAGTTAAGGAGCGAACAGAATTGTTTTAAAAAAAAATTTCTGCAGCAAGCTGTTCAAACTATAAAAATGAGAAAAAATTCACGTTGTTTCTTAATCCAAATCGGTTCGCAAAAAATTTTCTAGATAAGCTATGAAACTTCGGTATATTTAAAATTAGCTCAGAAAAAGGCACCGAATGCCGAAAAAAAATGAAAAAATGTTTCTTTTGCAGCCATTCAATTCGAGCGATGAAAATTTGATATAGTTCAAAATATTTCATAGACCAAATCAGTTCGCGAAAAATTCATGTTTTTATAAGCAAGTAAATGAAATTAAAAAATAGCAAAATGAAGTTGTTTATAGACCGAATGGGTTCACAATTTTCTAAGCAAGCTATTCAAGATATTTCAAGTTATTTCATAGCGCTCAATTCGCAAAAATTTATTTTTTCTAAGAAAACTAAGATACTTTAAAACTTTTCATGTTATCGCAGAAAAGGATCCGAAGGGCAAAAAAAATTGCAACGAAGCCATTCAAGCAATGAAAATTCGATAAAACTTAAATCGTTTTAAAGACCAAATTGTTTCGCGAAAACTTGAAATAATTCGCAAATATTTGAGTTCTTCCAAGCAAGCTACTCAAGCTATGATAATTCCAATTATTTTAAGTTTTTCATGGACCGAATCGGTTCATGAAAATTAAGAGATGTCTTCAGGGAGCTATTCAAGCTATGAAATAATTCAAGTTATTCCATAGACCGAATCGATTCGCAAAAGTTTCAAGTTTTCTCAACAAGCTACTCAGCCTATGAAACTTTGAGTTATTTCAAATTACTTTATAGAACAGAACAGGCCGCAAAAAATCTGGGCTTTTGTAAACAAGCTATCAAGATATTTAACTTAGAAAAATTTCAAGTTAATTCACAGACCGAATCCGTTCATAAAAAGTTTAAGATTTTTTAAGAATCGGTTAGTGAAAAGATTTTCTAGGCAAGCTATTTAAGTCATGAAACTATGAAATATTTTAAGTTAATATTTGAAGTTGAATCAATGACATGTTTAGACCGAATCCGTTCATAGTTCACAAAAATAGTTTCTCTAAGCATGGAGGTTGCTGCTCAGTTTATTCGTTTCAGACTGAAATTAATCTGTGAACGCTAAAATTTTTGAGATAAAGTGGGCAGATAATGCCTCCTAGCCTTGAAGTTGAATCAAGTTCATTTTGATTACAGAGTTTCGCACGTTTTTCGAAAAGAATTCTAGAATATTCCAGATTTTAGTATATTCGATGTCCCCGTGAATGATTCTTAGACGTTCTGATAAACACATTTTTAAACGTTGCGCTCGATAGCCCTTAAACATTAAGCCTTATGCTGAAAACATGTCATTCATTTAATACATAAGATAAGCTAGTGTGAGAGTGACTTTTTGTGCTTCTATGCTTTAATGTAAAATTAGTCCGAAAACAAATACATTCTGAACTGAAAGAGCGGTAGTATGATATCACAATCAATTCCTAACAAAATTTCTTTTTGAGTGACCTGACTCGGTTTTTTCGGTTTTCAATGTATTCAAGTTCATTTAGGTAAATTTCATGTACTTAGAACAACTTTTTCGAGTAATTTGCAAGAAAAAAATTTCATGGCCACAACTCAGGTTCCATTCTGTTAAATACACACACAAAACCCTTTCCTTCTCTGTTGTATAAGATACACGTACCCTGGCAGAGTAGTGGTCAACTTGGGGCTGGTTGTAGAGGTGACTCAATCTATCTAACGAGGCCTGTGAAAACTCAGTCATCCCCACTCCCCCTCTAGTAACACCCTGTTGTGACGTCACCATTGAGTTCTCGGGTTGCGAGTGGTAGATGAAGCTGCTTCGTTGTGGACTGTTTGCATTTCGAACCCTATGAGCGTCGAAGTTTTAAAGTTTGTTTTTCATTCAAAAAGAAACTCAGGCATGGCGACCATTTTCGGTTACCAAAACTGTATTTGCTTTGTAAAATATCGGATCAGTGTCTTATAATTATAAGAATTGGCAAAGGGACTAATTGAGCTGTTCTTAACATATTTGGTCGACATACTTAACCTTTTAAAACTACTAGTTTCACCATAAAAAAGATGCTCATGTCTTGTGGAGGAACAGAAAAGGATCCCCATTCCAATATTGCCCCTTCAAAATTTTGTCCAAAATTAGAAATGAATTCGCAATCAATCAAAAAATTTATGGTCAGCTTGGTTCTTGAAACATATTTCAGATAGCTTTTCACCTATTTTCAAGTTCTTCATGCACAGGCTGTTTTGAACTTCGTTCTCGCTCGTTCAAAGCACTATGCTGCTGGTCGCTACTTCTATCTTCGTTACTACCACTATCACCAGATGATGAACAACATCTCAGATTCTGTTTTAGTTGTGACCTTTTTTGACGACCAGAGAGTAAAACTGAAGTTGAAGAACTTCTGTTACTTCGAGTAACTATCGAAAATAACTTGGCAGTTTTTCTGGTTACCATTGCAAAGGGAAGCTCAAATTAAGTAGATTAGCAACTATTGACCGCTTCTATCATTGCACCTGAAAATTGACTATGATTGTTGCTACAAAACTCAAACTGATTTTTGTTCAAATTAATTAATGAACAATTAAGCTCCGATATATAAAATGTAGACTATTATTTAACCTACTTTAGATCACTTTAAATAAGCAAGTTATCCCAACCAAGGGACCAATTATTGAATAATTTAAGGTTGTGCTGCTCGATTATTTGACCGAATACTCGCATTTCCAATCGGAAACCCAGATTTTCATGTAGTCGCAGAGTGACATCTGATATCAATACCATATTGGAAAATCCTTAAATAATTAAACTGCTCATTGATTATATCGTTAACACTTTTTCCGAAAATCCTGAATAAACTTAAGATACACAATATCAATTTTTCTTGAACACCATGATCCAATTATTTGATGGCATTTCTATTCTCCGCTCAAAAATAAAACCAGCATTTCGAGAAATCTCCTCCAATTGAGACGTATCCCTGTAGCCCCAATCTGGGTTGCGACTTTTCAAGCTAACATCAAAACTTTGATTGCTCTCGGGTGAAATTACACCGTCGATTGAGAAAGGCCCGTAAATTAAAAAGTAGCTTCCAGGTTTGAGGCATCGCGAAGCTATGCTGAATGCTCCAAACGTACAAACAATGGGTGATATGTGAGTGAAGTTAGAAGCATATACCATGTCAAAGTCATGATCCAGTTGAATTTTGTCGACGTTTGATAAATCAATTGCAATCGGATCTTTAACAGATTGCGATAATTTATAATGATCGATATACGCTTTAATACTGGTCAAGTTTTTCGGATCAACATCTGACGGCTGGAACGTAACAGCTGGAAAATGTTGTGCGAAAAAAGATACATGCACACCTGAACCAGAAGCTAGTTCGAGAACTGAAGTTAATTTGGATTCCGTGTTCTGATTTCGGCCGATGAATTCTTTCAGGACTTCCAGAATTGGAAACTTGTTTCTGTCACTGGAAGGAGAGTTTAACATTTTCTCTGTTCGTCTGCCGTAGACTAGTCACATTCGAATACTCCAACGAAGTCTTTGCAGGTACATTGAACGGACTAAAAAGATTCAAGAGTAATGAACACAATATCCCAATAAATAATTTTTATCCAATAAACAAGAGTTAAAATTTTGGTGTCCTACAATTTAATCACATACAATTTAACACCGTTCATTTTAACACCACTTGCAACAACATTCAATTAAATACTGGGAAGCTAGCGGACAAAGGAGACAAAAGACACTACATTGACTTTTTTAACGAAAAACTTCAAAATTTTCCCTGGAAACACACGACCATCAAACGACGCAGCATGCGTAATTAAAGTGTCAAATTACACCATTTTCAGCGGCTGATTTCACATGAATGCAATCAGTTCCAAACTCACATTTCATAGCTACAAATATGACTTTTAAACCACATTTAACCATCTGATTGCAGCAGAAAAATGCTTAAGATATTACTGTGACTTTTATGACAATAATAAATCCGCTTACAATGCACTGTTTGGCCTCGTAATGTGACTTTTATCACATTTATAAAAACACAAATATGACTTTCTGACCATAATTAAATTTTACGCCTAATTAAGCCATGATTTGCCATAAAAACCATTTTCCCCTTTAAACAAACACTGCGACTTACGAAACAGCTGTTAAGCAATGGTACCATTCTAGCCATCTCATCCGGTCTTGCTGCAACAAAAGGTACTCAAGCAACTGGGATTCTGAAATTAAATACGCGTGACCATCTTGGAGTCATGGAAACGCGAGGGATTGTTATTCGGAAAGTGTTGAGCCATTTTTATGATGAGTGTCATGTTGAAGCTAACATGCGAGAACATGTTACTTTAACTAGTTTAATTCTGATTGCAGCAAAAAAATGCTTAAGAATTGACTGTTCGAAATAAAATAATATACTTCAAAATCCAAAATTTGCAGCCATCCCAAAGCTTTTCGACACTTGAAAAAATTTTCTGAGAAATTTTATTGCAATTATTGCTGACGATGACTTACATGCTATATGATTCTGAGTAGGAAATTTTTTTTTACAAGTTTCTCTGTAACGAACTGATAACTGTTAAAAACTTTTTAGCGAAGAGGCAACCACAAGATATGCATAAAACTCGTAGGGTTGACCATTTTGCTAAAATCGCAATTTTTAAATTTAACAAAATTTATGCCAGTAAAAACTTCCGATGCTAACATACATATTTTTCGACAATTTTTTTGGACGCAATTGGAAATATCACACACAATGTGTAGCAACAAATATACATACAGCCTTATGTCATGCAGAAGCATGTGATGTATTGAATTGACATACCAACTCCGAAAAGAAAAAACAGCAGGCGAAAGTACTACAGACAAAACCGTTTTTATTTAATATATATTTCGTTTCAAAATTGGCTACGCTTAAAAAACTCTAAAAATAATCTTTCAATTTTTCATCATTAGGAACGATCCATCCATTCTCTAACACTTGAAATTTATAAAAGCTCATTTATCAAAATCAACCCAGAAACCTTTGTGAAACCTATTTATTCTAATGACTGGAAGAAAATAAAACTGAAAATTCACAAAAAGTTTTCAACTCAAAAATGAGAAATGTTCAGAAAATTTAATTTAATTGTCTGCACTATTGAAAAAAAAACAGCATGACTTCAAAAATAAAAAAATGCAAAAATCGTTAGCACAATTTGTACTGTGGCAACAGTCGACAAAAAATAAGCCGAAAACCGAGTCCCATTACTACTTTTTAAAGAACAAAAGTTTCATCTGGCTAGAAGTACGCGTCCTGTCTTGACTCAAATCCCGCACCTAAATCGTTCAAAACATGGACATTACCTTTGCATTAAACAGCCAAAACTAGGTGGAACTTGATATGCTAATAAAGCAAGTAAACTAAGAAGTCCACAAGAATAACCTAGGGGCACAGAGATATTAAAGTTAATTTAAAATTTGATGAAATTAAAGGAAGGCTATGACAATTACCAAAATCGTTACCAATTACCAAAGAGGAAATTACGACCATTCAAAATCAATCTATGTAATAAAATAAACTTCATTAATTCACTCATAATCAAATAGACTTGAAAATTTTTCGTGGGAGAAAATTTAATCTCAACGTTGAAATTTAACAAAAACTAAGAAAATGCCCGGAGAGCAGGTTGCGGTGCCAGTAGCTCAGAATGTTGAGGCCACAAGGATTTAAGAGAATAAGTTCAAAATTAAGGAAAACATTGTTTAAAATATTAATTCAAACTCAAATTCAAAATTTTTCTTTATTCAAAAAATTCAAAACTCTTTATTCAAATTCAAAAATTCTTTAATTTTTTCATTGGTGAAAATACAAAAAACCCGAACCACGGAGATAAAAGAACTCGAATATAATAGTATTGATACAGTACCACACTTGACCCCGTAAAAGCTTTCTTTCGAGTGCTTAAAAGTGGACGGGAAAGCCTATTGAGTGGTGGCAACAATGACACGGTACAATTTTTATTACAGGAGGCAAATAAACAAAAAAACTAGATTGTTATAAAAACAAGATGTTTAATGTTTACAGTTTAAATACCCGCTTTTCATACTTCAACTGCAAAAACTGAGGAACAACTACAAAAAAATGGTTTCCAGTTGAAATACCCGCTTTTCATACTTCAGCTGCTAATATTGAGGAGCAACTTTTTAAAAGAATGTTTGCTAAAATTACTAGAAAAATTTAGAAAAAAATACATCTAAAAAATTCGATGTCTTTCACTCGGATGATGTCGACCCTGGTTAAGTCGGCAACGAAACTGTAGCCTTTAAAAAATTTGAAGCTCAAAAATTTTTAAATTCAAAAAGACCCATCCCTCTTGAAATACGCAAAAATAAGTACAAACAGAAAAAGTAATTTATTCAAAATCAGAGTTGGTTAATTTACAAATTCAGAACTACTTCTAATATAATCAGAACTGTTTGAATCAAAAATAAAAAAACCCAAGCTGGAAAGAAGCTGCTTGAATAGCAAACCAGATCATCTCAAAAGCATTTTGAACAAGAAACGGTAAATCAGCAGACATAATTTAGAACGAAAATCACAAAACCGAAAAAAAAATCAACATTTTCTCAAATAACTTCAAAAAAATAATTATTACTATGAACGAAATAAAGGATACTTTCATTTGAAGCTCCGGAAAATTGAGCATGTCAGCCTGGAAACGTGAAGGCAATCCTGTCTTGAACTTGTAAGAAAAGTTGTTTACGGGAAAAAAAGTTGCCCATTACAAGTCGCGCAATTGAAAAAAGGAGGAAGACAAACATGACTCAGACAAGTAGCAGACCAATAATAAGCAAAGGACAAAAGAACAACAAAAAATACGAGGACAACCAGTTGCTTTAACTACCACACAAAAATCACATAAATAATTTTAAAAAGCAACAAGTTTTTTCTTCAATTTATGCCGTTTTAAGTCCGTTATGCGATGAAATATTAATTAAAATAGCCAAGAGACAGTTGATAATATAGTCAACAGACATTCAAGGCACACAAAGAAACACAAAACTTTTCGCCTTACAAAGTAAAAATATATGGTCTTAGGCTTTTTCAATTTCAAAAACACTTTCTGATTGACCCTTTTTGGATAGAATTGAGTCATTTTGAAAAAATGGATCAATGCGTTGAATTTATATTCCGCTGAGAAACCAGAAAACTGAAGTCAATCAGGGGTTTAAGCAAACTTTTCAGTTTTTCTGTTCGATAGTGGACTTAACTTTTCTTCAACAAAAGAAATGATCTGAGCTTGCAACTAAAGTAAAAGTCACGCCACGAAAAATCAAACTTGAGTGTGAATAAATTATAAGACTTCTCACTAAGTTCTGGGTCATAGTTTTCTTTATGTTCGCCGACTCTTAATTAAACCCTAGAACTCAGGTTTATTTTATAGTAATAATAAATTAGAACCAATTGATAATATTTTTCTTCGAACACTGAATGGAAAAATAATGAAAAAATGGAAACTTTTTAAAATTATTGGAAACGTAAAAAATTGAAAATATTATTCCCAAGAAGACCATAGAAGAAACATACTTACTAATTTTACCACAATAAAATTAACTATTCGCAGCTTAAATAGAACTTTTTAATCATCCTCCTTTTAAAGGCCTGCTCACTCACTTCATTCGCCTCGAAATTAGATATAAATGAACAATTTCACACAGATTTTCGACATTGAGAAAATTTTGAAAACTTTTTTGTGTCGTCCAAAGCACGAATGAAAGTGATCGAATGTGATATGTCATTCGATGCATTTCAATAATTTTCTGTGATACCTGATTTTGTCTAGAAAAAACAAAGTAAAAAATTGAAAAAAAAACCGCCGAAACAAATCGAAATTGCCGACAAACCGAGATCTATCAAAATGAATAGAGCTAGTGTTGAAAAAAGCAAATCAAAACAATTTGATGTGAATTGGTGAAATAACCATCGGGACCTAGATTTACAGGAGGCAAAATCTAAAAATATTTAAGCAAAAAAAAATTTAAGCCGAAAAAAAATGAACTTTAACAAACTGAGTAGGTAAAATTTTTAACCAACATAAAAACAATTTTCCTTAAGGCTGGTTATTTAAATTGCTTGGATGCTCAATATATGTCTGATGCACCAGAAAGGCCCAGCAGATTAATGAGTCCGGGAAAGGTAAACACAGGGGTTTAAAGCAAGGGTGAACACAGGTAACCAGGATGTGAGTCCTAGGAAAAAGTTATTTAAGGGAAAAGTATAGTACCCGGTAGCAACACACTTGCTATCGCAAGTCAAAATACATCCGAATTTTTTTTCATTCCACTTTGCAGTCAACCAAACGTATTAAAAAGCCGTAGCTCGACCGACCATGTTTTATTTAAATATATGTATATTCAGGGGCGGACCTATAATTTTCTCTTCCCGATTTTCAAAAAAAATCTAGGTTTCGACTTTTTTCAACTCAAACAAATTGATTTCCGAGCACTCCCAGAACATATAAAGACCCTAATCTGTCCAAAATTTCTGTTCCGCCGGCAAAAATTTGAAACAACAGACCAAAAAAGGCGTTTTTAAACACTTTTTGGAAAGTTTTTACCAAAACAATGCATTTTTACGGCAGGCGTGCCCCTTCAAAATTTGTATTGTTGGCGCCAACGGCGCCTTTAGAAAAAGTTTGAAGGTTTATCGGCCGAAAAGGGATGTCGAAAATTAATACCAAAGGGAGGACTCTTTGGTTGGTGAGTAGGTCGAATCCCTGAGGGGGATGGTGCCCCCAAAATCCGCCCCTGTTTATTTAAAAAGCAAAATTTGCTGTGTGTAACGATTTATCATAACCCTATTCGACAATACATTATTACTGTGCACTGTTTTAAGAATCGCGGTATAAGTCAGATGAAGAAATTATTCAGGAACCTTACTTATTACACATCGAACCAAGGTTTTAACGGGAAAAAACTGAGTACCAATTTGGCTGAACTTTGCTAATTGTTAAGTTTAAGTTTTTGCAATACTTAAAAGCTATCAAAATTCCTTGCGAAAACTCCACAAAGGAAAACAGTTTGGTAAAAAAAAAAACATATAATTTGCTGCGTTTTGTGTCTTTCGAATGCTTACTGCTCCGAATTCATTGCCGTTTAAGTGTGCTATTTTACTTTGGTATTTGGTAAGCGTTTTTGCCTTCTTTTTAGACGATGAATTTAAATTGAAATTTAAAAAATCGAAACCCAACAACTGATTTTAAAGCCAACAAAAATTTAATTCCTGCACTCAATTGTCAAACCCTTTCCTTAATGTTTTGAAAATATCATATTTTAAACATTCAACTTAATTATATACAAGTACAACAATACTCCGGTATGAAAAATAAATAGTCATTTCCATATTTAAAACTCTACTAGACTAAGTACTACTGTCTGGAATATGCACATCCTTCGAGCCAAACCCATTCATTCGCATTCCTTCCGCAGCTCCCATTCTTATGACAGGAACTTTCCCTTCACCAGAGCACTACGAGCTGCTTGGTTGATCAGTTTGAATCTGAATAAAAATATGCTAATAAATAACACTCTTCGCTCAAACCAAAAACTGATAACGATAACCGAAGAAAAAGATAATCAGTCTTAATTTCAAGGACTTAGATCTCACATTTTCAATTGATTCGCATCGCTGTAGGCAAATTCATTAAGGGTGGCATTATCATCTCCGGATTAAGCTTTTTGGCCCAAATATGTCTATCATACTCCGTCTTTCCTCAAAAAGACTCTGTTTTGAATGCAGAGTTTTGTTGCTTGGTAAAACAATCCTTTTAGACCCATAACCAACTAATTAATTACACAGAGGCAAAGCTGTGCCTCGCAAACACTTGCGAGAACACGACCAAAAAGCAGCTCTATCAAAAGACGTAAGAAAAACTAGAAATACGCCTCGAATTAGCAAAAACTCGACTACGTGTCGGATTCGAATCTGCGACCAAGCAAATTTGAGTATCACGTATTAGCCACTCAGCCACGTATGCTTCAAATCCCCAAAAACTAGCCACCAATCACCACTAACGCAGCTACATATGCTATTAAATTGCCAAATCTATCCAGCAAAAGTAGCACCAAATACAAAAACAAAATTCTGCATGGAACAAATCGCAAAGCATAAAACCACATTATGTATAAATTATGCATTTCAAAAAATTGCGAGACATATTGAGAAAGAAAATTTTTGAAATCGAGTTTTTTTTGTTATGTTGTTTGAAACAAATAGCTTTTTCGGTTCATTTGATTAATTAAAAATGCATCAACTTGAAAGTTTGTCCTGATATCCTTTGCTTCGCAAGTTTAATAACTCATTGATAAGAACGAACACATTATTTCCTCAAAATATTTCTGTACACACCTATCTGGTCCCAATAGTATTCCCCCGAACCACCTGGAAACTACAACCATCACATTGCTCAATTTGGTTAACTCCAGCAGGTGTGCCACTCTGCCTCCCGCGTTCGTCTCCCCTGAACAAACACGAAATCACACCAGCGTACAAGAATGCTGTCAGTGCGGTCAATGCAGTTCATATTCTTTTACAATATGGCCAGTGTCGATTAATCTAATCACTATTAACAAAACGTCATAAGCTCGAAAGCGTCATTTACTTTTGACGCTAAGTCTTGACGTATTACAAAACAATTCAACGACTTACGTACCATCTTCGTCATAATCTGCGTGTAAAATGTTTCTTTCATCTGTAAATCGATAGGTCATTATGTTGTGAGTGGCTTTAGCAATCTTCGGTATGCTTAAAATAAACAATAAATAACTGCTATTTTAACAAATACTCTTGCTATCGCAAATGAAAATATAACAAGGATAGCCCGGTTGCTGAGCAAGTAGCACAGAATTTTGCCACCACAATTATTGAAGTACAAATCGAATAAAAAAAATCATCTTTTTTCCCCTCGGATTCCTTTGATTTTTTTTTCAGAAAGGTCAAAATAATTATTTTGAAAAATGAGAAAATAGCCAGATAATCTATAAATTGCAATATAATAAAACTGATTGTCTCTCATCGGGTCATTTGAAAAATTGGTGCCATTTAGTCTAAAAACCGGAAGCTCAGACCTTTTCTTGATACAGACAAATTTTTTGGAATCCGAATATCGATTCAAAGCACTTCATCTGATACACACTTGAACCCCTTCAATTTTTCCTTGGGGTACCTAAACTTGAGCAAAAAAAACAAGACATGCCATAGTTCCTTCTCTTCACTTCGTGAAGTTGTCGGAACACAAACTGTGCTCACTACAATAAAATTCTAACCTTTTAAGGTATAACATTACATCGTCCACATCAGTTTTCGAGCTGACTGCGATGCAGTGCCCTTGAAAATAACTTTTTCTTTCGAGTATCAGTTCTGAAGATACAAGTGACTGTTCGATTTGAAGAAGTCTGTCCAATGACAAAGCCCCATAATCGCTACACTTGACTACGTCGCGATTCCTGTGCTGAATGTCATCTGTCTTTGCCTGTAAATCAAAATTAGTAAGTTGAGCTAATACAATTACCAGAAACATTTTAGTGAGAGGAAGCTACGCTTCGTAAACACAAACAAAAAAAACGGCAACGGAGCTCTTAAAATTCAAAGCACAAAAAAAAAGCATTTGAAAACAAAAACTTCTGGCGATTACTACCAAAGCTTGAGCCCATTTGCGGCTTCGAAAGCTAAGTGTACTCGTATTTTAACACACACTCCACTTGTCAAAATATTTAGACACAGGCGTTAAAAAAGACAGTAAAAAACTGCGAAATTTATAAATAGTTTTCAGAAACTTAAAGTATTTCAAGAAGTCTCTAGCACAAAAATGATTCATAAAAGAACATGTGACACACTCAAACCAAGCCAAGGAATAATTTGTCAAAAAAACGAAGAAACAATTATTTTTTCAGATTATTGCAATCACATTTCAGCACAGAGGCCAAGTGGAGCATCGCAAAGCTTGCGAAACATCACAATTACTAGCTATTCGCAAATGCAAACAAAAAACAACCTCAAAAATTATGCATTTTCATTCATAATTAAGCCGAAGAAATTTAAACCGAATGCCCTAATGCCAAAAAAAAATCAAAAAAATCGACGAAAAATAAGTTGAATGCACATCAAAAATAACGTGTTCGCATGTTTAACAATCTATGAATATCGCCGAAGGCTATTTAACTAACACAGGGATTAACTAACACAGGGAGAGTGGCGGACGTCCATCTTCCCCCCCCCCCCCCCTCCCCCTCATGGATTCGACTATTTTGTCCCCCCTTTGTACTATTTTGAGATATCCATTTTTGGTGACGGACCTTAAAAGTGTTCTAAAGGCGCCTTTGGTGCCAATATATACTAATTTTGGGGGAGCGCGCGACAAAAAAGAGCAATTTTTTGGTCAAAACTTTCCAAAAAGTGCCTAAACGGGTCTTTTTAATGCTTTGGTAGAGCTCGGAAAATTAATTTGGTCGACCTAAAAAAAGATCGACAAAATTTTCGAAAATCCAGCCCCCCTCGGGAAAATCCTAGATCCGCCCCTGATCTAATATCATTTTAAAAATACCTCGGCAGGTGAGCCGACAAACATCAATCGCTGCCAGGAAGCCAAAAAATCATTAGATTTAATGCAAAAGAGAAAGTGAACTCTTTCAGAACATATCCAATGCCAAAAACTGTTCTAAATAGCGCTTCTAAATAGCGAAAAAAGATCGAAAAAAAGACAGAAAAAAAATACAAAATCCAGAAAGATAAAGAAAGATCGGAGACAGCCGTTTGTCAGTAGTACTACTTTGAACTGAATCGTCGAGACCAAATTTAAAGTTAAAAAATTAGGAGACGGGTAGACAGACATAATCAAATTAAATAAAAAAGCTGGTACACAGACAGACAGACAGACAAACAGACTTAATTTGGCCTCGAAAAAAAATTACTGAAAAATTATTCACCTTGCGGAAAACTAAATGATAAATTTTCTTAAGCATTGCAATATATGATATAGCTTAAACATAGAAAAATTCTTTGGTTGACCATGCAAAATTATGATGCTTAAAAATGGGAGATGGCTGTCACTAGCATTTAAATATAGTATAGATAGATAGATAGATAGATAGATATAGATAGATAGATAAAACTTGCCATGGCAGACATTAAATCTACCAAAATTAGATCTGCTATTTTTTTATACTAGAATTTTTTTTATTAAGTCAAGTAACATCTGAAAAATCAAAAACAATTATTGGGCGAAAATAAAATTGTTGTCATGAAACCTTTGAATTATAAAATTTGAACTAAATTGTAATTCAAAAATTTGACTACTTTAACAACTATTCTTTTTATGTTTTGTACGACCCGGAGGGAAGCATACAAATTATGATTCCCTTGAAACGACCCAAAATGAGGCCACTAAGTTGATAAAATATGAGCCGATATCATTCAGGCCAAAAAACTTTCAAAGCAAAAAAAAAAGAAAATATACAATGTCAAGGTTCGTAAAATTATAAATTGCAGCAGTAAATGAAAACATTAAAAGCAACTACAATGAAAACTGCATACAGCAAAAATATATAAAATGCGCCAACTAAACATACGAAAAAAATAATAGGCCAACAATTTTTTTTTTGGAACGGAATATTTCCTGTTTGAAAAAAAAAACATGTCCTGGTCAGATTGGAACCTTCAACCTTAACCATCCCAGGCGTATTTGTTACCTCCAGACTAAGAGTGCCGGAGAGAGACTCTGAGAAGTTTGAATTCATAATGAGCCAAGATACCAAGTGATTCTATTAAACATGTTGTTAACCCGACAAAAAAGTCTTAATTCCGATTTGATAACGCTCCTGATCGCAAGCGTAATTATTCATTAGGAAAATGGACAGAGAGCAAAAAAACTTTGATATTTTTTAAACACATCAAACGTGTTCCATACTTTTCAGCACATTTCAAGAGCAGACACAATCCAGCAATTCTCTTGCATATTACAAAATCATAATAATGAATTCAACGAACTAAAACCGGCGAAGGAATCAATTGTAAGAAGCGCGAAAATTCAGATTTTTTTGAGCTTTTGCGACCAGACTTCAAAGATCTCGATTCCAAATAATTTGATATGGTAAGCGTAAAACTTCAAGATGAAGCTGCATTGATTGCTTTCTTACGACCTTGAAGAGAACGAAAAGTTCAAACAAAAAGTATAAGTGAAAAAAATCTAAATGACAAGCAACATTTTCCCGGAACTCAATTAACTGGAAGTAGAACTCGTCAGAAAAAACACGCTGTGGCGAATAAGTCGACAGAATGTAAGTGGACAATTCATAGGCCCACAACAATTTTTTTTTAAACGAAAATTTTCATTTTACAAACAGAACAGGTCATGTACGTGTAGAAAAAACGCTGAGTTTTATTTAAGTATAAATCGTGCTAAATTAATGATAATTTAATTTAATGATTAATCATCGCATAATTTCAGGATTTTGTTGATTAAATATAAACCTGAAAAAGATCTATGACTTAAGTAAAGCTTGAACGCAATGAACAATTCAAGCAATCTAACATTTTTTCGATGCTGTAGACAACTTTCAGTAAACTCATTTATCTCCGTTATCCATTTGAAAACTACTGGCTCATGATAATTGGAAAGATAACACTCAATGAGTATGTCATTTAAAATTTCTTTCTCAAGAGGCTTCATCCATGGTGCTGATATTTGAAACAATGGAGGTTCGTTTAACGGGTAGGTTTCAGTAAACTGAATAGATAAAAGAACAACAAACTGCTCCAGTTTATCTGATGAAGGATAAATTTTGATTTCGAACTTATTTAAATCCACGCAAGTCCATAAATTGTCGTATATAGCTTCAAGTGCTGCAATTTCATCTTGTTGTAGCAGAACGCACGAGTCTAACGTTTCAGAATCAATGCAGTCAATCCGATCTACTAAATCTACCATTATATCTATAAAAGGGGGAAAAAGTGAATAAAACATTTGGTATCTTTAAAGAATTGTCATACAACTTAAAATAGAATTACGATCACGAGTAATTGAACGTCAGTGCAAAAATAAAATTACATTATACTATATACATGATCTTACGCCACTTTTACATTCAACATAACCTCTCCGTCACTTTTAAACTGAGCTAATCAAAGAACAAACGTAATCAATTTCCAAAAAAATGATTAATAAATCGCTCAAAAATTGATAATACTCGATAAATAGTTGTGAATTAGGTCGTACATCATGTTCTTCTTTTATTTGAATTAAGCCTCCCTGTCTTTTTCTCTTTTTTTTACTCGAAGAATTTCAACCACGAATCCTTGCACTGGAAATTATCGAACGCTAAGTTTCTTTCTGATCTCATTAAAGTTTTCCAAAAATAAATTATTTATCAGGGTTATCCAAAATGATCATGCAACTTCGTTATAACATCCAATGATTTCAAATTCAAATTAAGAATGCCTTACTCATAGCGCGGCTTGTTAAAGCATATTAAAGTATCAGCTGCCTCTTACGACACTAAAATCTTCTTCCATTCGACTCTCTTTAACACAAAAAAGCTAAATCGAAAACCTTAAAACGATTGCCTTACTACAACACAAAAATTCAACAAACAGTTTTAAAGAACTACGTTTAAAAATTCACTAAGCACCAAAAACAACTATGTTAACGTAAAAAATCATGATTATCCAAATAGATAAATTGATTGTTTACCTTTGTTATATTTTCCCATTAATTTCAAGTTTAGTTTACAATTGTATCACTGATGAGGCTGCTTATGCTGGAATCTGCTTGAACCAGGAGCTCGCCAGATGTTGCAAAGGTAACATACAATCTTATATATTTTTTATCATGATGGTTATGAACCAAATTGTATGTGATTTATTGTAAATAACATTTGTAAATTGATGTTTTATCGTCATTTTTTTTCTATTTTTTAAGGTAATCAGAAGGTCAAAAGTATCATAGTAACCGAGGTTACAGTCATGAGTCCCTTCATCATGTATTCCAGTCAAAATCCTTGGAATTTTCTAGATATGGAAGTGATAATGATAAAAGAAGATGTCAAGTGTTTAAGTCCTTTTCAATTAAAATCGATACGGGTTCGCTTCTTCAATAAGAACACGCAACTCGACACGAGATAATATAATATACAAGTGTTACAAGTAAAAAATTTCGTCGAAAGTTATTTAGTCATTTATTGTTCCGAGTACGCAAGCGGCGTTCGCAATCTGTATTGCCAGGGAGATTCTCTGTTTTAAAAAGCTGCCTGCTCTGGGTTCCTCAGTGCATATGCTTAGGTTCTTACAAAGCTTGCTCAAAAAAACTTCTGTAATGGGGCCGGCCGCGCCCTGAATTTCAAAAGCTAGCAGTTGAAAAAGATATCCATCATTTACAAGATCTTTATATTTGTCAATTTTACGCTCTTCCGCTTCAGCGGCAGCCGTACCAGGGTTACAAACAGACCCGGCATTAATCCTACAAGGAGCTAAGGAGTCTACTACCGTTACATCCCACAAGAGCAGCTTACCATCAGCACATGGAACGAGCGTCAAACCGTCTGGTCGCTTCTGATCGGTCCTGTAGAGGTGTCGTGGTTCTAAAACAGACGGAATGTGAGTAGATGATAGACTCTGCTTTATAAGGGCATTCAGGTTTGAATGCCAAGAGAATCTCCCTGCACTTTTGAGGCAAGAAAGACTTGTAACATTCGCCCGGAAGATACATATCGACGGATAACAAAACTAAGTCTTAAGACGACTGGCTAGCGTCTAAACAGAGCTTTGCATGTTTTTCACCGTCTCTACCAAGCCAGTACTTTTCGGTGGTCTTTCTTACATCGGGTCGACAAAAACGTTACTGCTCTCCGGCTTCGACCAGAACGCTCAAATTAACTGAATTACATGCAAAAATAGTGAGCTCATGGCTGGGTCTCAGTATCCCCAGACCACGAGGTCACTCCTAAAAACAGGGCTACTACTTATTATATTACTATTGTTTTTGTTCAGTAGATAAAAACCATCATCTCCATCGAAGATGGATCAACCCTTTCCCCCACTCCTAGCTTCTCATCCTTATCAAAATGAATCCAGTTGTTAATTAAATTCAATTCAGGACATGACAAGAAGCTAAAAGTTTATATAAAAGGCTAAAAGTTCCAGTCCCGAAACCCTTCCGGATTCTTGAATCCAGTGAAACAAGCTCCTTAAGTTCAATTTCACGCCAATCAGGAAGGCTGGTTCTCACCCTTCACCGTTGTTGGCAACGGCCTTGCAACTATTGTAGCAGCACAATAGTTGCAACTTGGAACGTTCTCTGCTATTGTAGTTCGTTGTCGTTTTTCTTTAATCTCGATTTTCGTTCTGTTCGCAATCACAGATAAAGTTGTTCTGTTTTTTCACTCGTTTGTTGTTAAAAATGGCCGTTTCAGCATTTCTCCGAAATGTGACGTCATCATTCGAATTTTTGAAAATTTAAAATACTAGAATATTCTAGCCCTCACCGTTTGGCTAAACGTTCCAATAACGTCGTTAATCCTTCGAAATCATCAACTCGGAAGGCTTACTGCTAAAAATTCGAAGCCTGCATAAATTGCACTTTGGCCATTCTGGTCGAATGTCACATACTCCCCGGACAGTCCGGTCAATGTCCTCATTGAATCGCACTATGTTCGTAAAATGGTTACAGTGTCATCGAACAGAATTTACAAAATGCACGAAATTACCTTTATCTACGTCACATCGACTCACTGCAGAATATAAATGGCATCATACTACATCACTATAGCCTTCAAATTCTCTCATTAATCTGCACTCTGAGGATATGACCTAAGATAAAACATATTTTCTGACTTCCAGTGTCAATGTCCCGATTAAAGCTTTTCCTCCTAGATTTAAAAGGTGTTGGCTTGCAGGACAGTCCTGCCAACCAACAAGCTAAAATTATCCTACTATGCTCCTTCCCTTCGGAAATCTTGCTTGTTTATTGTCCTGAATATTAAAACCAAGAAACCTTGTGGTTAGAAAGAACAATGCAACAACCTCCCTCCTCAAGAAGTTACTCAAGTTTTTCATGTCACCACAAAGTGATCAGTCTTCCTAAGTGATTAAAAATAATCATGCAGGCTGGAATATTTAAATATACTCTTCCCTCAAGCCTTTCTAAATAAATAATAAGTGAGTGTCTCTAAAGCCACTTCAACTAAAACCAAAATGCAAATTTATAAATGCAACAATTTCAAAACTCAACAAAATGTTTCAGTTTTCAATTACAACTTGGTTGCTTGGTTTCTCACTTGAGTTTTTCACACACATAAAACAATTCTGAGTTTTGACTTTTCTTCATCATTCCTTTGTTCTCTTCTTTTTTCGTCGTTTAGAAGTTCTAAAACTTCTAAATTCTTCTAATTTCCTTTCTTGCCGCCTCTTGTTTTCTCGACCATTCGTCAATGCTCCATTTCCTCCTCCTGTGACACTGACTCCGCACTTTCGGTTTCCGTGTCTTGTAGCACGTCATTGACTATCCTGACGCTGTTGGAAGCCGTCCTCCAACACTTCTGCTCTTCCACCCTCTGTTTACAGCAAGGTAGGGGATCCACGTTTGATTCTCTGTTTCTACAGAAGCTGTTGTGGAGACACAACGTCACGTTTCTCTCCAAATCTTCTTTCACCATCTCTGCCTTCTCATTTCCACTACGCTCGCTTGTCCTGGAAATTCTTTTCACAGCGGTGGTCACTGCATTCCGATGGGTCACGAAAGCTCGCTTGAAAGCTCCTGCCCCAATGTCCAGCTGATATTCACTGTATACTCTGCCATGCTTCGACATGTGCTTTTTCGCATACTCGTACAACCATGCAGTCATGTTAGCTCTGAACCATGGCATCAATCGTTTTCTTGCCCATATCTTCTTCACTTCCATTGGAATGTTTAGAACTTTGCACATTGTCTCAAAAAGATCTAAATCTTTTAGACAATCTAATTTCTGCAATTGTTCTCTCGTCGGTGCCTCCTGTCTATTATTTTCTCTCACATGAGCTTCCAGCCATCGTATCGCCATCATAACTCCCACTATCACTATTGTTATGGGCTGTGATGAATCTGGTAAACCCATGGAGAGCAGCTCTCCAGAGTCCCAGATCAACACCAGATTACTACGCTTGGGATACCACCAGGTCTGCAGCAAGCAGTGGCAAGGAAACTCGTCATGTGTCAACATGATGCTCCTCCAATTCCGTTTTCCCGAAGCTTCCAGCAATGGTTCCACTTCCATCATCACTCGGTGGATCTCATCATTCTCATCTACTGCATTGTAATCTGTGACAGTTGATCCTCTCTGTTTCTGTTTTTCAAAGTCACTGAAGTTCCCGCTCACATATCCCATGAACTTCTTTCCCAGTATTGACTCCAACTCCTCTTTGGTTCTCTCTGGGACTGCTGAGAACATCTTACATAGTAACTCGTAAGACTTTTCAGACATTCTCGCCAATCTCACACACTTTGGCACTGAGAAAGCTTGATCCACGACCGTTCTTGTACTCTTCACGTCCACAGCCACGAAATGTACAGGGTATCTGCTCTTGCACATTGGAGCCAACGTTAAACCCACCAAATATCGTGCTCCTGATGGTCTACAATAAGTTTCGCTGTGTCTGATGTTCATCTCTGTTTCGATTGCCTCCCTCCATTTTCCTATATACTTCTGCTCAGTCTGCAGAACTCCTGGGAATACTTCTACGCTGATGGCTGTGACCATCTCATGTTTCTGTTCTAGATTCAATAGTGACTCTAAAGAACCAAACATGCTGTAGAATCCCAGTGCTGTCACTAGATTCACATCGGTTCCTCCATGGCAATCTGCTATCAGTTCCGTTTCCGTTCTCGCTTTCATCACTACATTTCCAAACAATACTGTCAACTGCTTGTGTTGTTTCTCCAGGGTTTTCACACAGTCTAGACTTCCACAGACGTGACCCTCTAGTCCACAGACTTCCGCCAGACAGCTACCAGGTTTGACCCAGTCTTCTGGTCCCCAGCCAGGCAACTCCATTTTATCTTCTCCGTTGCTCTTAGAGGCTGTTATCATCACATTATATATGATGTTGAGGTCACGCAGGTTACAGTCCGCATTCAGTTCCCTCTGTATGTCTTGTGTCGCCCGTAATATTGAGTCAGCGTTGGGACTAGGACACCATGATGGCTTCATCAATTCCCACACTGCCATCAAGCTCGTTCTCAGTAATTCATCTGAGAATCCCAACCCAAATTCCACTCTCTTGTCGGATTTTGGTACTGAAGGTGCAGTCACCTCTTCTTCCAAGACCAATCCCAATTTGGCCTGTGGATTGTTAACGCTCTTAGTCGTCACAATTCTGGACGTCCAGAATCTTAGTAACACCGCCTGCTCATAATCAAAGAAGCAATCGCGTATGTCTTCACTCAGGAAAGGATTGTATGCTATCCCTATAATCCCGGACACATAGCTATATGACTTCTTCTTGATCGGTCCACAGTATTCGCTGGATCTCGGCAATGCTCCCATAGATTCTTTAGTGAGCCTCAACTCCTTGTTTGAGAATCTCCTGATCTCGTCTATCTTTTTCATGGGTTCCAATTCTTCAGGTTCTTTCATGTTCACCCTCATCGGTTTACTTTGCTGCATATCCAGCATTGCTAGTAAGAACATGGCTTTCGTTCGCTCATCGCCTTCCCTCAACATTTTAACACAAGTGTTTAATGCAGGTACTGAAATCTGCTCTATCAGGAATCGAATGAAACAGAGAGCGTCTCTCCGCTTTGCACACGCTACTGCTGCTCCCTCCTGGA